TCATTTGTCTTTTTGACCCTTTGACAATTCTTGAATTTTCACTATCAGATCGTTAAACAAAATAAAATTTTGAAAGCACAATCCTACCCAAGTATCATAAAAACCAATAACATGAACAATGAAGCTCAAATATTGCAACTTAAATGAAAGCAGAAGACACAATAAAATGATTCTATGAAGGGAGAGAGTCGGACTGAGGCATGAACACAAAGGCCATCCTCGTCCTGCCCCCACATCGATGTGTCACGATCTGCACTCAGCTCACCATGACGCTTTCCATTGCCAAGCAGGAGTTTTCTCTCTTCCCATATTTCACTTTTCTCTAAGATTGCAACCCAAAACTATTACAATCTACTTTACGTTTTCCACCTCTTACTTCTTAGCTCCCTCAAAAACTTCTCTAAAACTTATGTATCTCATCTCAAACTACCTCCCTACAGCTCTCCTCTATAACTGTCAACTTTCCCAAGAAAGTGCACTGACCTCTTTTTTTTTTTTTTAAAGATTTATTTATTTATTCGTACAGAACTGGGGTATAGGCCAGAGATGCGGAGGGTGAGAGGACTCACCAGAGACAGAGTGGAGAGCAGAACAGGCAGATGGACGAAGTACACTGCTGAGGGGAGCAGCGGGCGGGTCAGGAGAGGTCTGCCACGCCATGTGGTAATTTCCAGGGCAGGCGGGAATCGAACTCATGCAGAAGTGGCTTTAGTTTCTCAGTGCAGTGCTTTAACCCGCTGCGCCACCAGGGAGGGCCCTGTGCACTGACCTCTTTTTAGGTTGCAAACATTCTATCCCCCAAGCTCCCCAAAACTGTTGTTGCCTAATGAAGGTCATTGGTGACTCTACTATCAAACGTATACTCTCCCCAGCCTGCTAGAATTCTGGAGCTCTTTATTGCATTTGATGCTAACGGCCCCTCCTTGAAACTCACTCTCTCATTTCCCTGACTGTTACTTGTATGTCAGTATCAGTTGCTGACTTAACTCCTTTGCCCCTGACCACCTTTATAAGTTGATACTTCCTGTACTTCTGCCATCCTAGCCCACAGTGTCAGTGATCCACTGAATTCCCTTTGCAATTTTAATATACACTCCCAATAACCTGCCCTACTTCACAGAGGACTGGCCCTCCGTGCTAGAGTAAAAGTTGGCTTTTGACCAATAAATCCTCCCTTGAATTGCAAGGAATAACTCAGATTTTATAAAGCCTGCCACAGACTTGGGCCTCTCTTCACAACTTTCCAATTAAATGGTCAGACACCTTTACATCTCTTTTGGAAAAAAAGGATCAGTGTGGGCAATATTTTGGAATTCTAGTTAGGGATGGTTAAATAAGAGACAGATGTACAGAGGCATTAATCAAAACATTTACCACCCAGTAACCACCCATAATAAGAACTATTTGAAGCATTTTCCTTCCAAATAATTCAAAATGAGGCTGCCAAAATGCACAGCCCCTGACAGAGATGGCCATTACCGATCTGTGTTGTGCACCACTTGGCAACCCGGCTGACGAAATCAAGTGCCAACTGGGATTGGAAAAGGCAGAGGTGGCGGTGCAGCTGGAATAATGAAGTCCCCGATGTAAGGCCAGCATGAATAGACACATGAACTTAGGAACTTTCCAGCATCCAGGGTATAGAAAGGAGCTGTAAGAATCACACCCCAGTCAAAGGGTAGGTCTATTCTGGGCAAGAAGGAGTGAAAGGGAGACAAAGTCTGGCAGGGAAAAACCAAATAATAAATGAGCACAATGCCACGGCCCCAAGCCCAGGCCTTTTATTTTCCCTCCAGATGGTCCAGCAGCTGAACAGCTACACAGAATGTCTGGATGCCCCTCTTGGCTCAGTCGCCTTCCCTAGGTATCATAACAGATGGATTTGGATCTATATTCAGACAGAGCTGTTGGGGGTCCACAGACCAGGCAGTGACCACTAAGTGGCTAATTTCGTTACTTTATTGTAAGTAAAGTGATGAACATGGACGGGTAAAGCCTGCTCTGGCAAAGCTTTTTCATTCATGCCTTTAGCTCTCATCATTTAGCAAATCAGAGCCTCATAATGTCAATGATCAAATTAAAATGATTCTTTTTTTTTTTTCTGCAGATGTATTCATTTGCTGCAAAGAGAGGCTCCCCAATTTGGAGTAATTTGATTATAAGACAGAAGAGTCACAAGAATAAGTTCAAGAGTAGCACAAGCTTAATAGAAAAAGCAACTGTTCCCACTTAATCTATATGGAATATTTTTGCCAAAAGCTGCTGCTCGGCAAACTGACTACTGTAAGATGTCTCCCCTCTGCTCAGGTAGCACCTCATTTCCAGTGAGATACAAATGCACAAGAGTACCACCAAGAAATAAACTGACATAAAAATAAAACTGACAAAAAAAGCTTAAATACCACTGCTTAGGCAAATAGTCAACAAAGAAATTTGAACAAAAATAACAACTTTTGCTAACGACACTATAAAACTTAACTAAGCATATCCTACTAACATTTATTCAAAATATAAATAAGCTTTGGTATTTTCCTATCCTGAACGATGTAGCACACCCAAGCTTTTGTTAAACCTAATAGCTAGGTGGATGGCCCAATCAAGCAGTCAACTCAGGGTGGCTGAAGGAACAAAATCATTAGCTTCACACATTGTGAATTCAATAACCTGTAATCAAGCTACTAAGTAAAATTACAGAAACAGAAAACAGAAATGCATCATTGTTACTTTCCTGAGAGACTGTTTATAATGGCGTTCACTTCTTGACCCTTAGTCCTTACTCACATTAATTTAGAATGCCTACAGCTCTGAGTACAGTTCCCTGCGTAAAAGTGAAGAGCTTCACTTCTCACATATATAAATAATATTTCTCCCAACTTTTTTTAATGCACATTAGAATATATATATATATGTATAATACTATATAATTTTTCCATTGAAAAGCTTGAATGATGAATGGTTACTATAAATTGCAAAAATGAAGCATCCTAATTTCAAAGTTGCTCACAGCATGATTTCATAATCTTCTTAAAATTCTATTCTATTTGTAAGTATTTGTAAAAATATCTCTTTTTTTTTGTAAGCTTCAGTAAGTCTCTCTAGAAACTCCTGCCCAAAAGACGTAAGTTCAATAACCAGAATTCAAACCACATAATTTATTGGCTTATGAATGAATTGACATTATAAAAATAAACCTCCTGAAAATGCTTTAGGCTGTTTGAATTCCTCTAAAATGCCCTGGCTGAATCTGCCAATCCTTTATTAATGTAAGAACAGTAAAATACATTTTCATTATCAACATACAATAAAAGCTTCAATATTGGTGAAATGAAAAAAAAAAGATTGGTAAAATGTTAGTCTAGAAGGTTATTTGCAGTGACATTTAAAACAATTTATTTGAACAACATTTGAGTTGAGATAAGAACATTGCCTATTAAATAAAGATGGGCTGTTCAGAATTCATCAGAACTCTATTCTCCCCCTCTATGACAGTTAACATCTTTTGATATTAGTAGTCATTACATATCTAAAATGAAAAAAGAACAGAAAAAAGAAACCCATGCCATTCTGGGCAAGTGCCTATTAAAATGACTGATCCTTGACATTTTAACGCCAAGACCATGCCTATGATGGCTTCCTTTTCACTGCCCCCTATAAAGCCTTTTCCTGCCTTCACATTATCTTTACTGATGTCCATTCTATTTAGAACAACCCTAAGTCCCATTCTTTATCTATTCTGTGGTTCAGAATGCTTTCATCTACAGAATCACCAGAGAACAGTTGAAAATAAACAAATCTGCAAACTCCCTAGCATGTCACTTCTGCTCCCTAAGGGCACTAACAACAGATGAAGAGACCACAACAAACTGGCTTTTCAATCCGCCTCCAATGTTACTTTTACACACAGGCTGGGAGTTTTCACAGTCCCTTTCAACAAGATCCACCCATATTCCAGGTCAGCCACCAATATGCTAACCACTAAAGACTTGAGATAAAATTAAGCTGACACAGAAAAAATACATTTCCTTACAGATTGTCAAGTCTCAGGAAATAAGCAAACAGACACGAATTTATGTCACCATATTTAAAGAAGCCCAAGTGAGAAATTTTGCATAGTCTCAAGAGCTTAGCTTAAGTGTCCCAAAGGTCAGGATTTTAATTCTAAAAATCACAAAAGATAACTAACTGTACCGTTCTGGTTGCATAAATTCAAGAGTTAAGTTGTATGGAAAGTCCAGCTCAAGACTTTCCATACATTAATACCAAGAGGGAGTCTGTGTCAATTAGTTAAGGAAGCAGAACTCAAAATACCTAAATGATCTAGAAACAAAATACACAGTACAACAATTTTTCCAGTTCCCATTTTATTTGCAACTCAACCTGGGTGTGTCTGACTAAGGCTAGGAAAACTCCTCTTTCTATCTAGCACAGTCACAGAAAAAGCTCCAGCAGTAAACTGTTTCAATCAGCTTTGCCCTTTTGTCAAGACCGGTTTGGTAGCTGAGAAGGCCAGTCCCTGGAGCCCTGGAAGCGGCTCCTGCAGCATCCCACACGTCAGTGTCATTTTCTTCTTTTCCCAAAGTAAGTGCATTGGGAAAGTCTCTTATCACTGACGCCACACTTTTTTAAAAACCCACTTTAAGGTCTCCAAACAGCTCTCCCCTACCCAGGCAGCCAGGTTAACGCATTTCCCCAGAGATTTCTCTCTAGTCTCAATCACAAGCCTGCTTGGGTGGCAATAGGCAAAGTAAAAGCCACCCCTACTGCTCGGTCTGGGACTCAAGTTCACTCCGGGACCAACACACGGCGGCGGCTCTCAACTAGAGGCTGAGGGCTGGCACCACGCGAGTGGCATACGTCCTCAGAACAGGCTCCGCGCCGCTCCCGTCCCGGGCACTCCGCGATGCAGAGGCTTCCCCGATCCGCCAGCTCACTGCCACCCCCAGAAACCCCAGACACCCCATTGTGTCACCCAGCAGCACGCTCCACGGTCCTCACCTACCTTCTGTCGGCCTCTCCGTTGCGCCTGCACAGCCGGCGCCTGCCTCCTGAGCTCTGCAAAGCGAATGAGGACGCTTTGTTAGGGTTCAAGAAACGGGACAATACTTCGCAGCCGGCGCCGGGGTTCCGTGCGGCCGTCCTCCAAAAGGACGCGAGCAGAGACCCGCGCGATCGTCATTTCCATATGTAAGGACCCAGCTTTTACAAAAGCGCGGCTCTTGGGGGCAGCAGGCTGCCGCGCGCATCCTCCCCGCCCCTGCCGGCCGGTCCC